ACACACACACACACACACACACACACACACACACACACACACACACACACACACACACAAATTAAAAGGCACAGGTGTGTCTGCAGGCCGGCGGAGTCTGAAACACATCTGTCGTTGCCTTTCTTGGCAGGCTGTGAAGAGAAAAGTGCAGCCTCGACAAATCCCTTCAAAGTTGACTATCAGTTCTCGGGCTCTTGAAGAAGTGGGCGATCTGAAGTGAAGACGAGGATATCCTGCACGCCGAAAAACTCATTAAATTGATGACAAGACAAGGGGATGGAGGATGAACCTGCCAGATGCAGCCAAACCTGGAGCTCTCCGTTGCAACCTTCCCTCCTCCCTTCCTCTCGCTCCCCTCCCTCCCTCCCTCCCCCCCTCGTTGGCTTAATCCCTCTCTCTCGCTCCGTGTCTCACCCACCTTCCACACACACTCACGCAAACAGGGAAAAGAGGAGAAAGCCAGAGAGCGGAACTGCGGCGGCACGATGGGGATATTCCGCCTGCTCCGATGCTGAGGCGTCCGGAGTTCAGCCACAGAGCGCATGGGTGTGTGCGTGTGGGTGTGTGTCTGTGTATGCATGCGTGAGTGAGCGACTGAAACAAGCCGACACTGTGACGAGGAAGAGGAAGAGGGAAGCAGAGGGAGAGTGTTGACTCTGTCTGGGGCTTGGAGGGACCTAACGCCACTGGATAAGAGGACGCTGATGTGCAACAACTATTCCCAACTCCTGCCGCTCCGCCTGCATGTCCTCCGAACTTCTGCCTTTGGAATTGCCTGCCCTCCCAGTTTCACCTCTAATCCGCTAAGGAATCGGGCATGCATGGGAACAACCAGGGACCTGGGCTATCGCATCCTTTACGTCAGCATTTCACAGCCTGAGGTGAGTTGATCCTCTTTGATTTATTTCATCATTCAGTCTGCCGCTGCAAGAAGAAGAAGAAAAAAAGTCCGTTCAAATAACGTATGGAGAAGGAAATCCAGGAAATCTACTCACTCAGTGGGACCGAGTCCTGGATAAGCCATGAGAAATATTTTCTCTWCGGATGATTTTTCTCTTCAAGTCAGCTGATCAAAAATCAAATATGTGCGGCCGCTGAAGGGAGGTAAAGCCCCTGACTGATTTTCTGCTCAGCTGCCTCAGTCGGGGTGAAGGGGTTAAAGGGAGATTTTAGGCAGCAGTTGCAATATAAYTGAGATACTTTGGAAAACTTTATTAACAAAAAGAAATGTCCACGAAAGCTTTAGACATAAAATTAGAAAAAAAAAAAAAAAACCTGCTGGCCTTGTTTGCTGACGTTCATAAAACCTGGCAGGTCGGGGTTGTTTTTGTGTGCAAGGGGATTTTGATCCAGATTTAACTTGACTGAATCGGCTACATGGATAAAACAGTACAAGGGCTGGCATGATGCTGCATTTCCTTTCAGTTTTGCAGCTGAGTGAGCATTACATAAAACACATACTGATATCCATACCCAAAGAAAAATAAATAAATAAATGAACTGCACGAATCCTTTGCCCCACTTACGAAGGAGGGGAAAAACGGATAATGAGAGATGGGTAGACAKTTCGTAGCATCTGATCTAAAACCATTAACTAAATGCTCATTTAGAATAACGGACTGAGTAAACGAGGATCTCCTTATAAATTCGGGGTGTGTGGCTTTATTTGTGCATCAGAAACAACAAACCAGGGACCCTCGCAACTTAATTGTCCTTCGCTTGCCACATGAAAGCAACGTCGGCCCCACTCGTCCTCACAAGCCTCCCGCTATTACTCTGTCTCCTTTTCAAACACAGCTCACATCAAGGCTTTGATACCATCTCCCCTCTGCTCCATTTCACTTTCCACAGGCACAGAGGGGAGGGAAAATACAGCACACAGCGAGGAAAAGAAACCAAGAAAACAGCTTGTGTCTGTGAAATTAAGCAGGAAAAGCGGTTTGTCTTTCCCTGTTCGAATACACGTTCAAACTTTCAGAGAATCTTTTTTAGACTAGGCCTGTAAGAAGTTGTGAGGGCGTCCAAACGAAAAGGCGGGGCACGGGTTCACCTTCAGCTGGCCCTTCTCACTGGGGGGGGGGGGGGGGGGGGCTACTCATCCATCCATAAAACAAATTGCTCTCCTAAGAAAGAATGACTACTTTTGGAACAAGCCAGATGCTGCCTTTCATGTGCTAATACGATTATTAATTAAGACTCTGATTTTTTTTTATCCCCAAGGGAGCGCCACAACAATGTCACAGAGTTCAGGTGAATTGTTCAGTCGCTCGGGAGGAAATGTGTGTTTGTTTGTTTTTTTGTGTGGAGAAGTCACTTCACACCTGATCTCACCGGAGTGCCTGGTGCCAGTGTGTGCTTGTGTAAGCGTGCGTACAGCATGGGTTTCCCACTGCTTTGCAGTTGGTGCCCAGTTAGCTGAGGCTCCAACTGGCCCAGAGGCAGATGAGCTAAAATTGTGTAATTTTGTTYTCCTGTGGTGAGGAGAAATGTTTCATCCATGCATGTTGCTTTGTTTTGAGAGCTGGAATTGATCATTTCTGGATCCTGCTTCACAATGGTGCTTATGTCAGTGAATCACGTGATAYGTGTTTAACTGAAACCTCATGTAGTCCTTTGTCCTTAGTTATCACCTTGAGTGGCTCCTGTTGAACACATCTGGACAATAACTGCCCCATTACTACATTATAAACTGCTGCTACTCTTCCATGACATCCTGTAGTTTTCTTTGTGTTAACCTAAATTCAATACTCTGGTTTCACGTGACGTCACATTGCGAGTACCAATGATGGTCMTGCACAAAGGTGAGAAATGTAAAAACGCTGTAAAAAGTAGATTTTAAACTTGCGTCTGCGGTTGGGTGGAGCAGAGTCGGCCAAGTGGTCTTTCAAAAGACTTTCCAGACTTTGACAGGCTTTTATCTGAAGTTTGGTGTAGTAAGACGCCTGATGGAGCAGACAGTTTGTGATTTCAGCCTTAATGATCAGCAAACTTTTMGGTTCTGCCAAATTCATTCATCTTCATAACATATGGATCACGTCCAGCAAATTTGTTAACTAATTGCTGGTATCTTTMTCTTGAAACTAGATCTAAATCCATAAAATACAGACTYTACAATGGTTTATTCATAGAAATTGTACTTCCAGCACAAAAAAAATAACTTTATCCTCTGCCAGGTTTCCCTCTTAAACATAAAATCTAAACTATGGTCAGTGAAAACAYTGATTAGAATAAAAGTTTTATTTGCTAGTAATTTGGCATTAACAGATCCCTGTCATGGTTGGAGCTTGGTCACTCACCAGCAGTCAGTTTTCAGGGGGTTTATTCCACCTGAGCAGCTAAGGGTTTGGTGAGGGATGAAGGGTCCGTGTGCCAACAACAAGTACGAGCCAGGTGTAAACAGGATCCAAAGAACTTCCGTGAACAAAGTTACAAGGACCTCACTGACGTTCATCCATGCCGCAGAGTAGGAAAGTTTGCTGTCTATTAATCTGTTTATCGCTCTCCTTGGGCTTCACATCCAGGCCATGTCCTCCCATCTTTCGGGTAAAGTCCCTCTTGGTTCCGTGTCTGGATTGCTGCTTTGATGTGGGTCACCTAGATGTCTGAATCTAGCTTAAATCTGGGCCCAGCTACCCACTGAATGCAGATCCACATGTCCCTGATTGCCTTCATCCTAAAGAGTAAGGTCTTAGTGTCCTGCTCTAAATGATGGGCAAAGATTGACGATGAGCTTCTTAATGGTTCAATGGTTTTATTATTAACTCATTGCTAGCTTTATGGAACCAAAGTTTCTACATTCAGGAAGATAAAACAAGAACATTTATTTATCTGGTTGTATTTTAAAACTTTATATGCTCAGCTCAACAAATTGTTTCAGCTCAAAGTCMTTAGTGCAGAGGTCTTTAGAGAACATTTTGAAAAAAATACAGTACCACATTTAGAAACAAATCTTGAATCTTACTAGGTGGAGGTCAGAGGCCAAGATCAATGCCAGGAAAATTGACAACGTGGTGGAAGACCACAAATTGTGAACTCCATAACTGATTCACAAAAATTGACCTGACCATCAATGATGTGTGTTGGAATTACCYGTCACCTAAATCACTCTTTAAAGGTTCTTTATGTGATCTTTATAATTCAAAATGACATTTTCCAGTAAAAATAGCTTTAAAAAGTAAAAATGTTAATGCACAATTGTTTTTGAAATATCTCATCACCTTCTTTCGGAGATGTTACCTTCAGTCCTGCTCAGATTGATCCAAAATGTCTGCGTCCAAGGCAGCCACTTACTCTTGGTTTTATGCTTGCTAAGCTATTCTTTAGGCAAGTTTTTTAGAAAAGTGCTCTTCGAGGTGATGATATTAAGTAAAGGAAGAGAAGTATAAGTTCACTGGTCATTCTTCAAGCTGTCTTCTTTCCTTTTGGACCTTTTTTTTAACTTCCATTCAGTCCTGCACCACCCAAGAAAAGTCTATATTCTTTCTTCCTGCRCCTGTATATTCTGGTCTTTCCCTCTTCTTTCCAACTCTGGTGCTTTTTGTGTCTTTTTTCATCAAGGAATGACTATGTGCAAGCAGCAGGGGAGTTCTGTAGTTACCTATCAGCTTTGAAGCCTCAGCGTGTCTCGAAGGCAAAGAGAAGAGAGAGAAAGACTAAAACAGACGTGCAACAAGGAGGAATACGATGAGAAGACAAGTAAAAAAAATGAGCGTCAAGACACAGGGATATAGAGTTGTGTAGAAAGATGAAGAGCAGAGCAAAGGAAAAAGAAAAATGATCTGATGCATCCTGATTAGAGCAGGCAATATATCCCTTCCTCGGTCCTGCTCTCCATTTACAGTAGCCGGTGTGCTCAGTGATGTATAGACAGGATTCCAGAGAATTAATCAAACTCCCACGAGCCCACCTGAGCATGAGAACATCACATACACCGACTAACTACAGCGAGCAGGGACATAGCAAGGAAAACATGTACAATTCAGCAGAGACAAACTGGGTAAAAAACAATAATAAGGCTGATGTCCGCAGGCTACAGTCCAAGGATAAGAGGTGCCCATAAATACAGTCTACCATGTTCTTTTTATGACTGTAATTTCTACTACCTTACACAGCAGGGGGGTGAGGGGAAATTTCTAATGATGTGAACACAGACACTCCAAGGTCTGCAAAGCTTCATTGGAAGTCTCTTAGCCTGGGTAAAGGTACTGCACAAGTTCTCATGATGAGCAATAACATTGGTATAGAAACTAAAATGTGCATACGACAGACACTAGACATACCTGAATCATCACTTTGATGAAATGTTTCTAGCAATCTATGATTAAAAATGTAAAGTTATATTTAAAGCTACTCTGTCACTGATGTAGAGATGTACAAATATGACTACCCGGTAGTTCAACTTTTAAAATCATAGAAAATAATTAGTTTTAAAGTAAGGTATTACTTTTTGGCCTTTATATCATGTTCTAATGTCATTCCCTCATCAAAAACATTACCAAAAGTGTTGTTTTGACTCGTTCATGCATGCTTGAGAAATCCTTGAATCTCCTGTGGTAGTCACGTGGAGCTGCCTAAACACTGGCAGGTAAGCACCGCCTATTTACACAAAGCTCCTCAGTCTGCATCCGAGCTCCCGCCCCATAGAGCACCCTTCCCCCAAAAGCATTGTTATGAAGATGTGCTGAAGTGGGAGTGTGGAAAATGGTATGAGGTTCTTAAAGAGACAGAAGCCAATTTCAAGACATTTAGACTATGATGTGAAGTCAAACTTATTTTTGATATAGAATTTTCATAACAAATGAAGGTAACACAGTTACTTGATTGTGTTATAGAACTGAACTATGTGCCTGGGAAATACATAATACCCAGATTTACCCAACTA